TGCATTGCCGAAATTAAAGACCACAGCTTTTTGCTGATGCCCTCCGGTACAGGCTGGGCTAGGGAGCAGAGGGACTGGACCCTACTTCTACCTGGTTTAGCCTGGGCATCTTTCTGTGAAAGCCGGCACCTGGCCACATGCCTCCACAGCGACTTTCGCTTAAGCAATGCCCCACAGTCTATACAGTGCAAAAACTCACTGGATTTAACTGGGCAATTTGGCTGTTTAGCTGGGACTAAAGTTCCAATGCCGGCCTTTAAAACCTCAAAATTGTGCTCACGGTTTCCACTATTCCTGATCAAATCAAACTGAAGTTTACGTGCTTTAGATTTCACAGGTAGAGCCAATGCTCTGGCTACGTCACTTTCATTTCCATGTTTTCTAGTCAAATGACGGGACATTTTGTGGCAGGACATTGAACAGTAGAGGCAGAAGTGTCTCTTGCTGTATACTCGCCCCCCATTTTTCTTCTTTTGCAGCTGCATGATAACAATCTTATTTGCCTTTGGTTCGTCACTTTCCGAGTCTTGAAGAAAAGTGTTTTTGATTTTTCTTTTTCCATACTTTTTTACAGGTTTCTTCTTGACAGTTAAATCGTCAGAATCTGAGTCGACTTCATCAATTAGGGACTCTTGACTAAGCTGCACAAACAACAAATAATTTGTAATCATTCTATATAACAATTTGAAGTCATGACTTGTAGTCAGCACTTACCAGTGGTTTGTAAGCGTGCGCTTCAGTGTGCTCCTCCATGATTTCTTGCAGCCTAATGAACCACACACTTGCACCTTTTTCTAGCCTGACACCTGATTTCCTCTGTTGTGCTGCTCCATGATTGGCTCCAGCCTGCTGGACTGAAATTGCCCCAGTGTGCCCCTCCTTGATATCCCGCAACCCACCACCAGGGTTCCGACACATAACACACTTTTTTCAGGAAAGTAAACCTCCAGGGGTCCTTTCCATATTTTTACAGAGACTGCATAAGGACCGTTAGAAAAGCATTACCCATTGATTATTAAGCTTGGACCAGTGGGGTCCGGTGTTCGGGCCCCACCACGTAAAACCAGTCCCCATGACGTGAGTGGAATCTCAGGTTATGGAACCCACCAGGAGTTGAAAACAAGTGCACACACACACACACACACACACACACACACACACACACACACACACACACATACACACACACACAATAGGCCTCTTCTTTCCTTAACTTCTCTCTAATGCATTATACCACATTGAAAGAAAACAGGAAATGTAACTCTTTCTTTGTAAATTAATTTTGCGACACATGGGAGCCACAAACTTTTGGGGATATTCGATTAGTGTTGAGCTCATTTCACTTTCAATTAAAAAATAAATGTTACTCCAGTATGTTGGACTAGTTTGTGGTCGAAGAACATACAAATAAACCCATTCAGTAGTTGTCTGGTCATTGTCTTGCCTTTTTTCTGACTTATCTTTCCAACTATGACATCTTAGGACTTAATGTGTGTTATAAACATGACACAACTTCAAATGCCTAAAAGGGATCTATAACACTGGGTAACAAAAAAATATTTTTAGAAAATAGTCCAAAGATAAGGACAAAAGATAAAAGAATCATCATTCTTACTTAATCATTTTCTAACACACAACTGCCTTAAAATGATTTGCACATTCTTTTTATTGTACGAAGAAGGTTTTGAGTGTTTGAGTGATGGCGGTTTAGCTTTAATCAAAGATCTGTCACTGATGCATGCTGGGTGAGTCTTGCTACACATGATGAAAGTGACACAGGAGCCTTTGGCATGTTGGTTTTACACATACCACAACTACTATCTACTACAACACACTCAACATTTTATTGCTCAGTAAAAGTGTGTGTTATTTTTCAATTGAACAGGGTAAGTCTATGGCATCCGACTGATGTAACATCTGTCAGCAAGAAAACCTTTAAGGTTGTCAATTCATTTCAGACATTTTTGACAGTTTGAACAATTTCAGGTGCTTAAAAAAAAGGCCCTGAAGGAATAGGCAGCGGCAAAGGCTTTGGTCACATGTTAAACTTACTGTAAATGGCTGCTACACACCAATCAATGATAATAATGATTATTTTCTGCTCAGCATTCACAATCAATATATGTTTGAATAATATTCTTCTTGAAGGGTTGTTCACCTCTGCAGTCGTTTAGATCTATAGCCAACTCATTCCAGACCACAGAAACACAAACTTTATCTCCTCGTCATGCTCTTTTCCTCAGATTCTGAATTAGGATTAGAATTCATTATTCTTTACCTTGAACATAAGTTGTGCAGTTAAAAATATACCAAGTCTTTGAATTTCAAGGTTTTTTTCTGAAAAGATGAGATAAACTTTATTTATCTCACAATGGAGAAATTTACATGTCACATTGGCATAGATAAAATCACTCAGGTTGTGCAAAAAGACAGAAAGTGTTCAAACAAAAAGGTTTAAAAGGTTTTGTGCAAGATATAATTATGTACAAGAAAAAAATTAAAGTGACTATAGCAGTGCGAGTTTTTTCAGTCATTGTGTAGGTCATTAAAGTGATTGTCCTTTCTGATTGGTCTACACCTATGTTTCCGTAACACTTTGAAATGTTAATCAGAGAACACATTATACATATACATTATTAATACACATGCACGGAGGTTTTCAGAATTATTTGTTAACGTTTTAATGAAAAAAATAACGTTTTTATGCACAAAAAAACCGATCGCGGCAAACCCGGAACAAGCTATTATCATGAACTGCACATTATAGGACACATCTGCAGAGGATCTGATTATGGATATAGGTTCAGTATATAAATGATTATGGATATAGGTTCAGTATATAAATGATTATGGATATAGGTTCAGAATATAAATGATTATGGATATAGGTTCAGAATATACATAAGTAACTCAGCGCAGATGTTCAGAATTCTTTGTCCAGTTTTCATGTAGTGCGCCATGAAAACTGGACTTACGCCAACCTCCAGGTTGGCGCAAGTCCAACCTCCAGGTTGATTACAAGATCTTCAAAGATAAGTTGTGCGAGTTTAACCGGGTGCTACGTAGTACGAGAGAAAGGTATTTTTCTGAAATGATTGAAGGCTGCAGCAACAATCTGCGTGTTCTGTTTTCAACAGTTAATAGATTAACAAACCCCCCTGTTCAGATGCCATTAGAGCAGTGTCTCCCAAAGTGGGGTCCGCGGCCCCCTGGTGGGCCGCGAGGGTACTGCAGGGGGGCCGCGGGAGGTCATAAAAAAAATAAAAAAATAATATAATTATTTAATGTTAAATTTATAATGTTTTGTTTGTAATATTAAAATATTTGTGTTCATTATTTGACTTGAATAATCCACTGTAATCATTTTTGTATTACAATGTTTGTAGCAGAGGCTATTTCCCCAAAATAAAATAACCAGAAGAGCCTATTCTTAATGTTGTCTTCTTGGTTATTATTTTGGGGGGCCACGTAGACCCGTCAGATTTTTAAGGGGGCCTCGGGGTTACTGAGTTTGGGAATGGCTGCATTAGAGCTAACTTCCAAACGTAAATGCAATGAGTTTGCACACTTTTTCAATGACAAGGTTCAAGGCATCAAAAACGCCATTGTCTCCAATCCACAGATAACAATCCAACAGCCAGAAAGGCTCTCTGAGCTAACTTACTTTGCACCTGTAGATGATAAAAATGTCCAAGAAATAATCTCCAGTTTGAGCTCCTCCACATGCAGCCTGGATGTACTACCCACTAGATTTCTGAAGTCTGCTCTGGGCAGTCTGTTACCTTCACTCACACAGATAGTAAACATGTCCCTTGATTCTGGAATATTCCCAAAGGCCCTGAAAACTGCAGTCATCAGGCCCCTGCTAAAAAAGAGCAGCCTGGATGCTACGGTACTTAACAACTATCGTCCCATCTCAAATCTGCCATTTATGGGGAAAGTCCTTGAAAAAGTTGTCTACCTACAGCTTACTAGATTTCTTATAATTAACAACTCATTTGATATGTTTCAGTCCGGCTTTAGACCCCACCACAGCACTGAGACTGCTCTTGTCAAGGTGTCACCAGGGGGCGCAATGCCCCAACTAGATCTTTAAAACCAATGGTCCAAGGGGAGTGGCTCTATCAAAACAATACACCAGGGTTGAAAAATGAACAATTTATTACAATATATAATGTTTAAAATGCCACTAAAAGGCTACACTAAAAATCCAAAGATGAATCCCTCTAAAAACTGAATGGTCCAATATAGATCCAAGTTGGCGCTTGGGGTGGTGGTCCGGTCCCAGGGCACGTCCCGGAGGCCTATGGAGGGTCAAACAGGGCGGCAGTCAATACAACGGGTTACAGGAGCCTGAGCGTTGCTTGGCTCTCCACAAGACGCTCTCAGTGAAAATAAATAAAACTTAGCTGAGAGGAGGGGGATGGCGAACTCTCCCCCTCCGCTTCTCCACAGCGCGTCCTCTCAGCTTCTTCCTATGCTGGGCGCAGCATCTGCATGGGACAGAGGGCAGACCGGCCGTCAATCTCCCAGGTCAGTGACAGGAATAATATACCCCAGTACTGCGCAGTCAGGCTTTGGCACACAGACACACACAGCACAAAAAGGCCACACGTAGCCCTGCCTGCACAGCGAAACAAAACGGGTACTTAGCTGGGAGGAGGGGGTTCGTTACACTCTCCCCCTCCGCGATTCCCACGGTGCGTCCTGCCACTGGCCACTCGATGTCCGTCTCACAGCGCTGCTCTGTCGTGCCCAAGTGCTGCCTCCCGCTTGTCCAGTTCTCCGCACCCTGCTCTGCTGCTCCGCTCTCCACACCTGCCTTTTTCCAATCACGCACACCTGTCCCTGATATCCCAATTCCAGTGGGCCGGGTCACAGTCATTCACAAACACGCAACCACTCACACACACGCACGCACATTCACGCACGCTGTCAAGTTGCCCCGTGACACCCTCCCCCTCCAAACTGTTCTAGTCCCTAGAACACACATACAAGGGTCAGTTCAGGTATCTTTGGGGCCGAGCCCCCAAATTGGCTCTCTGGGACCTCCTCGGCTCTGGCGGTGGTACAGGTCCCTCCTCGACGACTTCCCCCACAGGTAGCAAAAGCCCCCACATTGATGCCGGAGGCTCACTTGAGGGCACTGTTGTAGCCTCCGGGGCGGTGTAGTAGAGGCATGGCCGGAGATTGTTGCGATGAATCACCCGTTCAGGGCCATCCTTACCCTCCGGGCGAATTTTGTAGACTGGGCGCTCTGGGTGGAGCCTACAAACTATAACAAAGGGTCTTTTCTCCCAGCGATCACTTAGTTTCCCTGCCTGGCGCCTGCGGTGGTCACGCACCAGAACTCGCTCTCCAGGCAAGAGCGGGACTTCTTTGGCAGAACGATCATAAAGCCTCTTACTTTTCTGTCCAGCCTGTTTGAGACAATCAAATGTTCTCTTATAGGCATAAGCCAGCTGCTCCTGATGCTTTGCTACCCAGTCTGTAGTGTCCATGGGAACCCGTACTCTCATACCTCCAGACAACAAATCTACTGGAATCCTCATATGCCGACCAAACATCAAAAAGGCGGGTGCATAGCCTGTCGATGCATGGACAGTGTTATTATAGGCCTGGATTAATCCAGGCAGATACTCTGCCCACCTTTGATGTTTTTCTACCTCTAGGGTGCCCAGGAGATTTAGCACTGTCTGGTTGAGCCGTTCGCAGGCCCCGTTCCCCATTGGGTGATATGGAGTGGTTCGACTCTTGCGGCACCCATACACCTGACAGAGTTCATGTACCAGCCTAGACTCAAAGTTGGCCCCTTGGTCGGAGTGCAGTACTTCTGGGCAACCGAACGGCTGGATTACATACTTCCAGAGGACACGTGCGGTCGTGAGGGCCGTTTGATCAAGTGTGGGTACTGCCCATGCAAACTTGGTGAACAAATCGGTCATAACAAGAATATTTTGATACCTATCAACTGGACGGCTCAATGTGAGAAAATCTAAGGCCACAATCTGCATCGGGGCCTCTGCAGCAAGATTCACTAAAGGCGCTTTACCTGGGGGTCCGGGCTTGTGTAATACACAACGCGGGCAAGCTTGTAGCCAGGTGTCAATTGTGTCCTCCATTCGGGGCCAGTAAAAACTCCTTCGCAGCAGACTCAGGGATCTCTCTAGCCCTGGGTGTCCCATCTGCTCATGATACAAGGCCCACAAAGTCTGTGCTTGCGATGCTGGAACAACAATCTGGTGAAGAGTCTCTAAAGTTTTTGAGTCTTTGACAATCCTACATATGACCCCATCCTTCAGTCTTAGTTTTTCCCAGTGTCTTAGCAGGGTCTTGGCTGGTTGCCCTAAGCAGGCCCGTCCTAAGGGCTGTGCGACCTGTGCCATCGCACAGGGCCTCGCACCACACAGGGGCCTCGCAATCTTCCTTCCTTTTATTTTATTTTATAAATACACTAGTTCAAGGGTCCCCAAAGGGCAGACTGCACTCCAAATTTGGAACCCTAAACCCCTTTCTCTGGACCTCTTTGATTTCGTTTGATCAAAAGAACATTTTTACAAGTAAAGTCAAATTTTCACCAAAAGCGATTTGTAAACAGGCAGGCGCGCGGGCAGCTATGTATGCAACGGGTCCTCCGAAAAAACTGTCAGATAACTTTAGCAGTGTCTGAGTGAGATACAAAGAAAGTAACGGGAATGATCGCAGTGTAGGAGAGATGGATACTCGCGGAGGAGCAGTGAGACAGGTGTGAGCAGAGGAGCAGACCCCTTTGTGTGAGCAGAGGAGGAGGAGGAGGATCAGCGGTGTGACAGGTGTGTGAGCGCTGCTATTGCCAATGTTTAGTCCGAATATCCACATCAAAAACATATTTTTAAAAGCATTAGCAAACACACTGTATGTCTAGCTTTAGCTAGCTGGAGTGTTTTTGTTGTGGTCAGAGTGTGTGGAGGAGGAGGTGAAGAGTATTTTGTTGTTGTCAGCGTGGAGGAGGAGGAGTGTATGTTGTCAGAGTGTGTGGAGGCATGGCAAAAACGTTATTTGATGAGAAAATAATAATATTGACTCCGCCTCATAGCCATTTTGGCGCATTTTGCCCAAATCTAACTATTAGAAGAAAAAGACTCCTTTTGGTTCAATCTTTTGAGTTGCTCTGCCATTTTGCCACAGGACGAAAGAGACATGTCAGCTAAAAAGACCGCGACCAATATTGCACGTAGAGTGTGTGTGCGTGTGTACGTGCGCGCGCCAAACGCTGCATAGGAGCGAAGACACTCGGTTACACGCGTGCTGATCTCGTCAAGCACCGCGCGAGGTGGTGCTGAATTCATGTCAAAGATTATAACAGGAAAAACTTTCCTCAGATCTGGGAAAAAAGTGTCAGGGCAGGGCCTCGCGTTTCGAGTTCGCACAGGGCCTCGCACCCTCCTTGGGACGGGCCTGGCCCTAAGGCTCGTCTTTCTAGGGCACTTAGAAGCATACCTCTCTCGATGTGAGGCTTGATTTTACGCAGATCCGGATCTTCAGCTTGAAGGCTTCTCCATCGCGCCACGTCCCATCCCAAACTGCCACCTATGGTTGGGGTAATGGCGGTCTCTACCACTCCCACAAGCTGGTCCGGGTCACCTAGGGCCTGGTTCGGAGTGTCAGTGGGGAATCTAGATAGAACGTCAGCATTAGTATTTTCTTTTCCTGGGCGGTATCTAATAGAATAGTCAAAGTTAGCCAACTGGGCAACCCACCTCTGTTCTACAGCCCCCAGCTTTGCAGTTTGTAGGTGTACCAGTGGGTTGTTATCAGTTACTACGGAAAACTTTGCACCCCAAAGGTAGTCCTTGAACTTTTCTACCACTGCCCATTTCATAGCGAGGAGCTCCAGTTTGAACGAACTATAATTGGAGTCATTTCGTTCTGCTGGATGTAGGCTTCTACTAGCATATGCAATTACACGTTCAACCCCACCCTGTTCTTGAGCCAGTACAGCCCCAAGCCCTGTGTTGCTCGCGTCAGTATATAGAGTGAATGGCAGTGTATAATCAGCATAAGCCAGAATAGGGGCCTGCACCAGTTCCCTCTTTAGCTGTTGAAAGGCCACCTCGCATTGTTCATTCCACTCAATAGGAGGGGAATGCCGCCCTCTGGGGCGACTGGTGCCAATCAAAAGTCCGTTAAGGGGCTTAGCAATCTTTGAAAAGTCTTTTATAAAGCGCCTATAATACCCCAAGAAACCAAGAAATGAACGGACCTGCCTAACAGTAGCAGGCGGCTGCCAATCTGCTACGGCTGCGACTTTCTCTGGGTCAGGTGAAACCCCTTGGCCACTGACTACATGTCCCAGAAACTTTACCTGTTTCTGGAACAGCTGGCACTTCTCGGGACGGAGTTTAAGGCCATAATAGCCCAGAGACCGAAATACTGACTCCAAATGCTGAAGGTGTTCTGTGAAGCTTCTAGAATAGACAATCACATCATCAAGGTATACCATTGCCGACTCTGCTAACTGATCACCCAAGCATCGCTGCATCAGTCTTTGAAAGGTTGCAGGTGCATTACATAGCCCAAAGGGCATCCTTTCAAATTCAAATAAGCCAAACGGGGTAGTGAAGGCAGTTTTCTCTGTCGTGCCCAAGTGCTGCCTCCCGCTTGTCCAGTTCTCCGCACCCTGCTCTGCTGCTCCGCTCTCCACACCTGCCTTTTTCCAATCACGCACACCTGTCCCTGATATCCCAATTCCAGTGGGCCGGGTCACAGTCATTCACAAACACGCAACCACTCATACACACGCACGCACATTCACGCACGCTGTTAAGTTGCCCCGTGACAAAGGTTACAAACGATATCCGGCTGAACACTGACGCAGGCAAAGTCTCAATCTTAATCTTGTTAGATCTGAGTGCTGCCTTGGACACCGTCGACCATGAGATCCTCTTACAGAGACTAGAGGACTGGGTTGGAGTCGCTGGCACCGCCCTAAGTTGGTTTAGGTCTTACCTTGAAGACAGGAAGTACTTTGTGGAGATTGGAGACTGTGTCTCAGATCATATGGCCCTGACCTGTGGAGTACCACAGGGGTCGATCCTGGGACCTCTTCTGTTCAATCTCTACATGCTGCCGTTAGGTCAGTTAACACGCAGAAACAAAGTGTCCTATCACAACTATGCAGACGACACTCAGATCTATGTCTCACTGACTGCAGGAGAACATGGACCAGTGGACTCACTCCTTCACTGTATCCAACAGATCAGTGAGTGGATGCAAAACAACTTCCTTCAGCTAAACGCAGACAAAACTGAAATGATTGTCTTTGGTCCCCAGAAACAAAGAGAGAGCGTCATCTGTCACCTACAGTCTCTCTCCCTAAAACCTTTCAAACAAGGTCAGAAATCTAGGGGTAATACTGGACTCAGACTTAAATTTTAATAGCCACATCAAATCAGTAACATCAGCAGCTTTTTACCATCTAAAAAACATTGCCAGGATCAAAAACATAGTGTCTAAAGCAGACTTGGAGATTCTTATCCATGCATTTGTCTCCAGTAGGTTAGACTACTGCAATGGCCTGCTCACAGGTCTGTCCAAACAGGCTGTAAAACAGCTGCAGTACATTCAAAATGCAGCAGCTCGAGTCCTGACTAGAACCAGGAAGTACGACCACATTAGTCCAGTCCTCAGGTCCCTGCACTGGCTTCCTGTGGCTCAGAGAATAGACTTTAAAACAGCTCTGCTTGTGTACAAGTCTCTCCATGGCCTCGCACCAAACTATATTAGTGACATGTTAGTCCCATATGAACCAGCCGGACTCTGAGGAGCACAGGGACTGGACTCCTGTTAGTGCCCAGAGTCAGAACTAAACATGGGGAGGCTGCTTTTCAGATTCATGCTGCTAAAATCTGGAACAGTCTTCCTGAAGATGTGAGACAGGCCTCCTCTCTGACAATGTTTAAGACAAGGTTGAAAACAGTTCTGTTTAGCTGTGCATACAACTGAGGGATTTTAAATTTTTATCTTTTTTTTTTAATGTACTGTGATTATTTATGATTTTAATGCTTTCTTGTTCTGTTCAGCACTTTGAATTGCCTTGTGTATGAATTGTGCTATACAAATAAACTTGCCTTGCCTTGCCTAGTTCCAGAGCCTAATGGAGGCTTGATTCGGAGGCTCCGCGAAAACAAACAACTGAGCATGAGCAGCTACGAGCATCAGCGCCGATGATTGACAGCCCTTGGCATGACTCGATTGGTTAACCTCTACGGCATCGTGGATTCTGAACTATAGCAAAGAGAAGGGAAGGCGGGACTTACCTGTAATATTAGAATTAATAAAATGTCTTATTTTATATCAACATTTAAGGCCAGGAGGTCAATTTAACACATTTCCTAAAATGTGTAATTCATTTAGAGTTAGACTTTAAAGTAAGTTATAGTACAGTAAGATGACAAGTGTATATGTACGAATATATATATTTTTGTAATGTATATTTGAAAAAAAATAACCATTTGTTCATTTTTAAAGCATTTTTATTTTTACATTGATCATGACACCATTTGTTATTGCCATTCAAGTTGGATATTTGCTTTGTCCAAACCCCAAACGATGTCTCGATGTTTAGACTGAGCTTTCGATAGTAATAAATATACTGCCACTTGAAACATATGGGCCTCATTGCTGCTTTCAGGGTCTCCCGTTTGTCTATTGTCATCTGCCACAAAGACAGTAAGACATGCGTTATTTTTTTAGACAGTGTTAACAAGAGCAATTGAAAATAGTTCAAGAATGAAAAACACGTTCCAGTCTTTCAAGACCTTTTTGAAAACTTCCTTCTGTACATGCCAGACAGAGATAGGTGTGTGCTCCTTGGCATCACGGTTGATTTAAATGATAGCTTTTAGTCCCTAACTGAAATGTAATGATATTTCCTTTGAACTAAAAATGGTTGGTAGAAAAAAGCCCTGTTATATTTTGTATGTTCTTATGTTTTAAGTTACTTGCAGGCTGGTGATGATAATAACATAGTTGGTACAGTGGATGCCTGAGCACACCTTTGACCCAGAGTTTCAACCAAGTGGAATTGTCACTGTTTTGTGTTATTTCTGTCACTTGGTAAACAATTAGACTTATAATTAGTCAAAGTTTCTCTCTAAAATAGCTTAAAGTTGTAATATCAGAGACAATCCATTAAAAGGGCCGTAACAAGAAGAAGGGTGAGTATGTCAGTTTTGGTGGAACACTCTGTCATTAGCAAATGTCAAGAAACATGTTTGAGCTGTGAAAAAGGCCTACCCACCCTAATTGATGTACTGATTGCAAAGGGGGGTAGGTGGGTATCCAGTATGGTGGCATTTTTCTCTTTCAACATGCTCCAGCCCCTCCCACTTCCACTGTGTGAGTCTGCTATATAACCACGGAGGCAGAGTTGCTATATATCAACTGCAGATCCACTACAGATCTACCTGGTCCACAGCTGACAGCCTCCAACATGTCTCTGAGCACAAGATCTCACAGGACCTCCAGTGTCTACGGCGGAGCAGGCGGCAGGGGAACCCGCATCTCCTCAGCCCAGATGAACTTCTCCTCCGGAGGATACTCTGGAAGTGGCAACACTTCCGGAGGCTTCAACTTGGCTGATGGCCTGAGTGGCCTGGACCTCCGTGTTGATGCCAATGAGAAGTACATGATGCAGAACCTGAATGACCGCCTGGCCTCCTACATTGAAAAGGTGAAGTTGCTGGAGAAGGAGAATGAGCGTCTGGAGAAGCTGATCAGAGAATGGTACCACAGCAGGACCGTCGTTGCTCATGACTACACCCACTACTTCGCCACCATCGAAGACCTGAAGGACAAGGTGAGACCAGGAGCAAACAATAAACTTTACAAAATAACATCCATAGATACCAGATACTGGTTTACATTTCAGATTGAAAACATTTTATGAATTGAACTACATAATTAAGAACTAAAATATATCTGTTTTCTGTGGACACAATTCATAAAACCTAACTAGTATTTAATGTTTTCACTTGTCTTTTTCCCTAGATCCGCATCGCCTCCAGAGTCAATGCTAAGATTGTCCTGGACATTGACAATGCCAAACTGGCCGCCGATGACTTCAAAATGAAGTGAGTCTCTCTGTTCCAAAACACACATAGGTGAAACTTACCATGTGCCCCCAAACCTGCACTCATACGTATTTGACAACTGGTCTCAATGGCCTAATGATCACCTACTGACCTTTTGTTCCACCCTTGGCAGGTATGAGAACGAACTGGCTATGCGCATGGCAGTGGAGGCTGACATTGCCGGGCTGAAGAGGGTCATTGATGAAATGAATCTGGCCAGGATGGATCTGGAGAGCCAGTACGAGGGGCTGAAGGACGAGCTGATCATGCTCAAGAGGAACCATGAGGAGGTGATGGTTGCAACACTAATGACTTAACTACACATAGACCAACACCCTCTACATACATTCAACAAGCTCCAACAGTCCTGAATGAAACAACTTCTGTTCAGAAGAAAGGACCATTCAGTGTTGACAAATGAGCTGAGCCCAGTTGTCAACCCAATTCAAACATTCAACAACTAAAATGATTCCTTTTCTTTCATGGTTCATAAAACTGACAGGGGCTATGAACCTTAAAGGATACCTTCACATAATGATAGAATGGGACTTTGCACCAAATATTTCATATGATAGATAGAATACATACAAAATAAAGAGAGCTTTGAACATTTGTTTTTATGGACTTTTGCAGGAGCTGGTTCTGCTGAGGTCTAATGCCGGCTCAGACGTCCATGTGACAGTGGACGCCTCTCCATCCATGGACCTGAATGGTGCCATGAGTGATATCCGGGAACACTACGAGAGTGTCATTGCAAAGAACCGCAAAGAACTTGAGTCGTGGTACCAGGGCAAGGTGGGTTATGGAACACCAGAGTGAATGAATATGTGTGTATAAGTTTGTAAAATACACAAAGATAACAATTCATATTTTCAAACATGTTTGTTTGGTGTTTCAGATCACTGCAGTGGAACACGAGGTTCTCACTCAGACAGAGACACTGACATCATCTCGCACTGAAATCAAAGAGCTGAAGTCCACCCTACAGAAGCTCCAAATTGAACTGCAATCCCATTTGAGCATGGTAAGTCAACCATCACAATCATCTGGCAAGCCACCAGCTCAAGCTAATTCTGGCAAGAGTTCATGTAGCAGCCAAAGGTTAGGGGACCCAACATTCAAGATACAAATCACAGAACTATCGAATAATCCATGGATGAATCCAATCCATTGATTTACTCAAACCCATTTGATTCTAGCTACAGGGATTTCCTTCTACCATATCCCTAGATTAGTATTTTCAGTCAATCAGCCCCAAGCTCAAAGTGTCAATGAGTGATTCAGGGGATTTTTCCTTTTTTTTCTTGACTCGAAAATTAAAAAACGTTTTCTGATGAGATTAGGACAGCATATGGTTTCTTCCAACCACTATTACTGTATACGTTTACGACACTGTTTCTGCTGGAACCATTTTTTAGTTTAATTAAACTAAATATATATATAAAAAGTATAGAAAATTAAATAAACGATTGAATAAACCATGTAAATCTCCAACACCGATCAGAGAATCAAACAGTTGAAACACATTGCCTTAAAAAAATAAAAAATAAAAAAATAAAAAGGGGCTGGATGGATAGCACTCTCCCCTTTCATAAAGAAGATCCTGGGTTCGAATCCCAGTTGGAACGGGGTCTTTCTGAGTGGAGTTTGCATATTGTCCCCGTGCTTGCGTAGGTTTCCTCCGGATGCTCTGGTTTCCTCTACCACTAAAACATGCACACTAGGTTAAATCCTCCAGCTGCTTTAGTCTTGACCAAGCCGAGTATCAACCTCTGGGGATGGGTTCTCAGGCGCTGTGCTGCGGCGACCACTGCTCCTGCAGTAAGCCTTAGCGGCATCAGGATGGGTCAAATGCAGAGGATGAATTGCCCTACAGGGATCAATAAAGTGCGCCTTTACCCATTCCTTTGCATAAAAATATAGAACAAATAGGTCCATAGGGGGAGACCAATGTTCATAAATGTCCGTAAATGTTATAGAATGTTGTGCTCAAGTTACCATACATCTCAAAGCAAACTGACTCCATCCACAGCTTGACTGACAATCTACTAATTTTAGTCTTCACTGAGTCTTACCTACCTAACCATATGCTAAATTAATGACAACTGTTTTGGGCCTGGCCTTGAATGTAGAGACTGTGTCTGCTTCCTTAACGTGGTTGAACTCCTCCACTTAAGCATTATAGCTAACACAGACCTTCCAAACTCTTGATCCATAGTCTTGCAAATATAATTATAGTAATAATAACAAAAACTACCACATAAATGATAATATCAATAATAACACTCCTTTTTCTCCAACTTTTCTCCACAGAAAGCATCTTTGGAGATCAACCTGGCAGAGACGCAGGGTCGTTACGCTCAGCAGCTGGCCGGGCTGCAGTTCACTGTGAGCAACCTGGAGGCTCAGCTGGCTCAGATCCACGCCAGCATCACCTCCAACAAGCAGGAGTACGACATGTTGCTGGACCTCAAGACCAGGCTGGAGCTGGAGATTGCAGAATACAGGAGGCTGCTGGACGGAGAGGATGAGAGGTAAGAGATTCATTGGGATTATAAGAAAAAAGTGACATTTAAAGACATGCTAGTAATGACTAAACCTCTTCTGCTTTGTCTCCTCGCCGGTGATCCAGCTCCAAACAAGGTAAGGCTTGTTTATACATTCATTTTAGGGCCTCACTCTGAAACAGGTTTTTCACATACATGTTTTTTTTCTTACTTCTTTCTCATAAAAAATGGCAATAAACAGAACTACCCTCACTCAGCCAATCAGCTATCAGCCGTGTAAAATATTGACTAACAGGGCTCTTTCTTTCAACATTTTTATTAGTCATACTAATACTAATAATTTAGTTTGTCCCAACAATGAGTATTGTAAAAGTTACATGTTGTCAAAAAAGTCTGTATCTGAACAGATTTGACAGCGTCAAATAGTGACTCACAGGGCTCTTACAAGTATGCCATCTTTGGCATACTTGTTAGAGCCCTGTGAGTCACTATTTGACGCTTTGGGCAGAGATACGATTGACTGAGTGAGGGTGGTCCTATTTATTGCCATTTTTTTGTCAGATCTAAAGCCGTGACAGGCCAAAAATAGTGATAGAACCAAACTTTGGAGCCAGATGTAGTTAATTACATAGTTAAATTTGATGCAGTTTGAAAGTGCACCAGCTTTAATATGATCGTACATTTTGATAGGATATATATAATTTAATGAGTATAACTGGACAATGTTCAAATGATAGATGTTCTGGGTAATGAGTTGATTCTATTCTACAATTGTTACATTCTAAAGGCGATCGCTGTGTTTTGACTCATATGTTATGTGTTGCCTCTTGCCCTCAGTGGTCACCAAAGTCATCACTGTCGTGGAGACTGTTGTGGATGGAAGGGTGGTGGAGAGCAGCAAGACTGTGGACGTCGATGTGGATGAGATTCAGTGATGTGTTGAAACTAAGAATCAATAAAAACAACCTGCAGTTGAAATCAGTGTTATAGTGTTCTTAAACAGGCCCTGAATGATTGCAATAATTCAAAGAGGCAACCCTTGTGGACAGGACTTTTGTAGCACAGCAAGCTATTTGCATCCGGGAGTGTAGTGAGGGGAAGGTAAGAAAGGTATATGCATATATTGGTATAGGTGAGGTATATAATTATACCTCTGGCTCTGGGCTAAGAGCCGACTTTTGTAAACCCGTTTACAAAAGACGCCATATAAAAGCATTGGATAATTCTTTTTCTGGGTCCACCCCCACCAGCCCTGAGTGGTATTGCAAGTATGACAGCGCACATGCTCATGGATGTTTTTAAGCCGGGACCCGCCTCCACTGGTTGTGCCACATAGTCATTTCATATGTGTTTCATCAGCATGGGGTTTTCCGGCAGACGCTAGTTCGTCAGTTAATAATAGAAATAACGATATAAATCTGATGAATGTATTGCATCCAAGTAATCGAGTAACGTGACCAACGCGCAACTGGGCGCCATACTGAGAGGAAGCAACTGTCAAACAAATCCCTGGAAGCTCATGGACTTTTTACTAAGGGTTGGGTATATGGTAATTTCAACCAGGGGGATCTGCAAACACCATTGTCACAACTATTTTACTAGAACCGCCTTTTACATAAGACCAGCGAGCCATTTTTTGGGAACAAAAAATAGCACATACTGTATATGATGAAGGGACTGGGCAGGTTGTTTGTTGGCAATGAAACGCGTCTGTTGTCATAACCCTCAATTTGGCGTTCGAACCCATGCGTGACGTCATTTGCAAGATAGCTTTTTCAAATAAATATTTTGTTGGATTTTTTTTTTTTAATTCTGTTGGATTTTTGTGCTTCCATATGTCAAATCTGTTTTCTCTTCACCGAAGTTGGAATGTTTTGTGTCCATGCATGATAATACATAGATTAAAGTATAATTATCAATACCTGTATCAAAACGTGTCACTGCATGAAACTGAATGAAAAGGCCTATGCTTTTGGAAAACTTTTCATCAGCTGAAAATCTCAGAGTAACACATTGCTTTGTTCAAACGGTTATGGGCTTTCATGCCGACAATGAGAAAGCTGCAACTTTGGACTGTTCTACGTTAAAAAGTTTTGTAAAAAAAAGTAAAAAATCAAAACGTCAAGGGATGTAGTAAAGTAAAGTAGCTGGTAGTAAAACAAAGACAGTTTGGAATAATAGATGTCCCTGGGCTTGGGCTGTTCCTCAACGCTGCTAAACATGATATATGGTGTGATTTTTTGGTTGTCTTCTGTGAAACTTGAGCTTGAGCTCGATCATAAAAAGTGAAGAGATGCAACATGTTTGGGCTGATCAACTAAAGTAAAAGCTTCTGTGACTAAGAACAAGAATAATGTGAGAAAGAGCCTGAAGCATTAAATACACAATACCAGGTTAAAGCCATAGCTGAAGTTAAGGTTAGGGTAAGGGGGTTACATAGGCAAAAAATAGGGTGTTTGCCTATTTTAATGAATGACTAATGTGATACAGTAGAAATGTGTAGGACAGAGGCCTTGGTTGAACTGGGGTCAGTGTGACTGCCAGATCTCTTTACTGGGACAATTGGCCAATTGCTCCTGTGTTTCTAAGCAATCACAATCATATCATATATCATAATCAACAGTAAAAAAAACAACCCAAAAACTTAAAGAACATTATAAAGGCAAAATACCCCTTTTAAAAAGCACTCTTGGGTCTTTTTTGGGCGGAATGAGGAAAGCAAGTAACTGCATGGTCTTGTTCTGGCTTGATACAGATTGGATTGCCAGAAAAAAAAAAAATGAAAAAAACATTCCCTAATCCTGCCCCTGGGAACAGTATCAACAACAAAAGACATCTTCCAGTGACTTCACCAGTGCCTCTGGCATTGCAACACTATAGTAGGTATATAGGCTATAACTCCTAGTGACAATATCTTACTTATATTTTAATAATACTAACTAATATCACAAAGAGCCAACACAGGATCATGCAGGATCTTCAACATTATCATAAAAATCCTTCAAACTAACAACCAAACATCTCATTCAGTTTAGAGCCTGTAAGAAATGATGTAACTATTCTCATAAAAGTATTTGTCAATTTTGCAGTTTGCAAGGGTCATAGATAATTGGGGGTACTTGCAATTTCATATAATGCACATTTCTATTTGGTTGTGATAAATCTTACAGCCCTGTTTCAAAACTTGTGTGAAGGAAAGAATGAAATAAATTAAATTAAATTAAAAGGGCATGTGTTGGATTTGTCTTTTTTTTTACATGCATTAGGATAACGAATGATTTGTAGCCTGTAGAAAAAGGTGCTCCATTGTGCTTTAGTAAAGGCACATGTTGAAATGGGATTAAATATTGTTAAGCTGCAGGCGGTTGATTTAGAAAAAAAAAACAAGCTCAGCACATTCTTTGGAAGATTGGTTTGATAGCTGTGAGAAGTGATGCTTGGATACAGCCCGAGTGGGAAGGGTGCATGGGTGGGGTCTCTTCAGGTGAGAGGCATATAAAGACAGCAGAGAGAGCATCACTGCAGTCATCAAGGACTCTCCAAGACAGACAGATCTCTGAGCAGCGATGGCCTACTCCGTCTCTTCTAGATCCTTCTCCAGCAGCGGTGGTGGTGGTGGTGGGGGGCGCCAGTATTCCAGAAGCGTCTATGGCGGTGGCGGTGGTGGTGGCGGCGTGAGGATGTCCGCAGCCAGTCGCACCTTCAGCTCTGCTGGAGGTGGTGGATTTGGCTTGGGTGGTGGCTCTGCATTTGGCATGGGAGGTGGAGGTTATGGTGGAGGTGGAGGTTATGGTGGTGGTGGAGGTGGATTTGGAGCTGGCTTAGGAGGTGGGTTTGGTGGTGGTGGTGACGAAGCTTCAATCAGCACCAATGAGAAAGCCACCATGCAGAACCTGAACGACCGTCTGGCCACCTACCTGGATAAAGTACGGAAGCTGGAGAGTGCCAATGCTGACCTTGAGCTCAAGATCCGTCAGTACTTGGAGGGGAAAACCTCTCCTTCTGCAAGAGACTACTCCGCATTCTATGTCACCATTGCAGATTTGCAGGGAAAGGTAATTGATGATAAAAGCAATCATCAATATATTTATAATCAATTTAATTTAAAATTTTCATCCTACTTTCACAGATCCAGGATGCCACATGTGTCAACGGAGGCATCTATCTGTCAGTTGACAACGCAAAATTGGCAGCCGACGATTTCAGAACTAAGTAAGAACACATATTTATTATAGCTTGTCATCACTATTCTGTAGTTTCAATAATATATTCCTCTTTAATTTCTCAGATATGAAAATGAGCTTGCCATGCGCCAGTCAGTGGAGGCAGACATCGCAGGCCTGAAGAGGATGCTGGATGAACTGACCTTGGCCAGATCTGATCTTGAAATGCAGATTGAGGGTCTCAAGGAGGAGCTGATTTTCCTCAAGAAAAACCATGAGGAGGTTTGTGGAAAAACACTTTGATACATCATAGTCATTGAAAGGTATTAAATGTATTTTACTTTCAACAGGAAATGGCCTCCATGAGAAGTCAAGTCGGTGGACAGATTAATGTCGAAGTAGACTCCAAACCTGGAGTTGATCTCAACGCCATCATGGAGGAAATGCGTGAACAGTACGAAGGTTTGGCAGCCAAGAATAAGAAAGAACTGGAAGCCTGGTTTAACGCTAAAGTAAGATTTTAGCTGTTTTAGATGGCTGTTTCTTGTATAGAGTCAATGAACATACTGGTTTCCTGCAACACAGGCCGAACCTCTGAAACAAGAAGTACAAGCCACTGAATCAACCATGATAAGTTTTAAGACCGAAATGAATGAGCTTCGAAACACACTTCAAAGCCTGCAAATTCAGCTTCAATCAGAACTCAGCATGGTGGGTTTTTAGAACATTTTGGAACATTTGGCAACATGGTCACTTTATACTTTATAACAGCTCGTTTTTGCCTTTTATTCCTGCAGAAATCTGCTCTTGAGGGAACATTGGCAGAGACAGAAGGCCGGTATGCCATGCAGCTCCAGGGCTTCCAGATGCAGGTTTCCAGTCTGGAAGCACAGCTCACAGAGCTGCGCGCCAGCATAGAGGCACAAACCCAGGAGTACAACATGCTGCTGGACATCAAGACCAGGCTGGAGATGGAGATTGCAGAGTACAGGAGGCTGCTGGACGGAGAGGGGGGGTGAGACTTGCATCATAGGGATGAAATCTGATCTAATTCATAATGTAAAAATATTGAATCCATTTTTTCCTTCCCAGTGGTGGTGTCTCTTCTTCTAGCTCAAGGACCAAGGTGGTTGTGATCACAGAGGAATCAACGGATGGCAAAGTTGTGTCCAGCTCCACTACAGTTAACTGAGTCCAATACAAGCAGCAGAAGCTTAAATAAAGTTGAGCGCTGACAATTTCTCAGTCTTTTTGTATCTTTGTGTTTGAATGGTACAGTGCATGTCAATGAAGAGAAATATTAGAAAAATGAATGTAAACATGCTAGTTTATAGCCAAAGGCTAACTTCCAAAGCCAAAGGTTGCTAGTGCATAGTGAACATTTGATTAAAGGTACACTGTGTAGTTTTTATTCCCATCTAGCATTGAGAGCATATATTGCATTTTACTGTACTATGGTTGCTTCACAGGACAATATTTCGGCTTTGACAGTGGTGCCCAACTCCCGGTCAAACTTCTTTTTTCCCTAATCAACCACTGTATTTCAAAATGTAGAGTCCTCCTTTAAAAGGTCACATTTGTTATTGATCAACATGTTTTTTAATTTTTAGCAACTATAAGAAATACTAACCAGCTGACTCAAAGTATTTCAATTTGGACAAAAATATCAATAATGAAATCAAAAAAATTGGTGGAGACATCCTTGACTACCTAGACATCGAAGTAGATTTATAAATCTAAGAGATGACAAATATTAAGATAAGATCAGATAAGATAGTGGTTCAGTTGGACCACTGAACCTGAAGGTCGTGGGTTCGAGCCCACCACAAGACTTTTTCTACCGACTCCCGCTGATGTCTGCTGTCGTTGTGTCCTTGGCAAGACACTTCCTCTGGGAACAACAGGGGCCACAGTGGGGCGGCTGCAGCTGTAAAATGCCAAACTGCTGTTGTGTCCTGAGGCAAGACACTTCACCCCCATTGCCTAGAATGAGTCTGGTGTGTGTGTGAATGGTTGGTGGTGGTCGGAGGGGCCGATAGCACATACTGGTTGCCTCACATCTGTCAGTGTGCCCCAGGGCAGCTGTGGCTACAGTGGTAGTTTATCACCACCGTGTATGGAGTGAAAGAATAATGACATGTGAAGCGTCTTTGAGTGTCCAAAAAAGCGCTATATAAAACCGATGTATTATTATTATTATTATTAAGACAAGAGAACCTTTAGGGGGGCGACAGTAGCTCATTTGGAAGAGCATTGGCCTTTGAGCCTGAAGGTTGTGGGTTCGAGCCCACGACGAGACCTACTTGACGACCCCCACTGATGTCTGCTGTTGTTGTGTCCTTGTTATTTCTAGCAACACGCAATTTCTGCAGATTTGTCAGTTGCACATCCATGATGCGACTCTCCCGTTCCACCACATTCCAAAGTTGCTCTATTAGATTGAGATCTGGTGACTGTGGAGGCCATTACAGTGCAGTGAACTCATTGTTATGATCAAAAAAACAGTCTGTGATCATTTGAGCTTTATGACAAAGTGTTTCTTGCTGGGAATAGCCATCAGAAGATGGGTACACTGTGGTCATTAAGGGATGGACATGGTCAACAACAATACTCAGGTGGGCTGTGGTGTGGCAACAAGAGTTCACCATTACACCCGCACCACCGTTGATACAAGTAAGTAATGTTTATTTATACAGCGCATTTTACAGACCAAGGTCACCCAAAGCGCTTTAGCGTTCAGATATTGTTCCAATCATTCCACACACGGTGATGACGGAACACACTGGCGCATCAGCCCCCAATCAACATCATCTATTCACTCTCTGTACTATTGTACATGTTTTTAGCAGGGGAAACTGGAGCACCCGGAGGAAACCTACGCAGACACAGGGAGAACATGCAAACTCCACTCAGAAAGGACCTGTTCAGACAGGGAATTGAACCTAGGACCTTCTTGCTGAGAAGCGAGAGTGCTATCCACTCAGCCACCATGCCGCTCAATACAATGCAGGACGGATCCATGCTTCCATGTTGGTGACTCCAAATTCTGACCCTACCATCCGAATGTCTCAGGAATCGAGACTCATCAGACTAGGCCACTTTTTATAATCCGGTGTGGTCTTCTGCTGCCCATCTGCTTCAAGTTCTGATGTGTTCTGTGTTCAGAGAGGCTCTCTTGATTACCTTGATTGTAATGAATGGTTATTTGAGTTGCTGTTGCCGAGTTACTGTTGCCTTTCTATCAGCTCGAACCATTCTGGTCATTCACCTCTGACCTCTGGCATCAACAAGCCATTTTTGCGCACCAAACTGCCGCTCACTGGATATTTTCTCTCTTTCGGACCCTTCACTGTAAACCCTAGAGATGGTTGTGTGTGAAAATCTCAGTAGATCAGAAGTTTCTGAAACACTCAGACCAGCCCATCTGGCACCAACAACCATGCCACGTTCAAGGTCACTGAAATCACCTTTCTTCCCCATTCTGATGCTCGGTTTGAACTGCAGCAGATTGTCTTGACCATGTCTACATGCCTGAATGCATTGAGTTGCTGCCATGTAATTGACTGATTAGGAATTAAAGAGATAGTCTGGAACTCTAAATTAATTACGAAATTTAAGAATTTTATTAAATTGACCTCTAAACATTAAACGTTGATATAAAATAAATGAAGGAATTAGAATATTATGGGTAAGTCCCGCCTTATCTTAGCTATAGCTCAAAATCCACGATGCCATCCACTTCAACCAATCAAGTGATGCCAAGGGCTGTCAATCATTGCGCTCGTGCAATTTAATATTTGAATATTAAATTGATATAAATACATATATTCGAATGAATATTAGACAGGCCATTATATTCAAAGCTGTAATGGGCATTATCATTTGTAATTGATATATATAAAGAGTTAATTAATCTTAGTTTTCTACACACCTGAAGTACAAGCAGAGAGTGTGTTGCCAAAGGGCAGCGGTCATTATTGGTTTGAAAAGTCCGTTATCAAGAAATAATGATCGGTAGAACGTTTTGAAATTACATTAAAATCCATACTGCTGCTGTGAGGAGCTGTGCAATAAATCATGATTAAATATCCATATATTTAAATTAATAATCTCTCCTCCGCACGTCTTGGCCCATTGACCTGGAGCGTGCACGGAAAAGTAGGCGCAGCTTCAAGACCAAAGAAAGGAAAGGTAAGGGAGCTTAGGTTGTTTTTTTTTTTTTTTTTTTCAAAACATGTACTTCTCTCTTTTTTTTGTGATAAACTCCAGACTATCACTGAGAAGTGGAGTTGGATAGGTGTACCTAATGAAGTGGCTGGTGAGTGTATTTTACACTAGTGTTATTCATGAGGACACAACAACAGTAGGGCACTTTACAGCTGTAGCCAGCCCACAGTAGCAGCTGGTGTTCCCAGAGGTCTCCCATCACAGTTCTAACCAGGCCCTGCTCTGCTTGGGTCTGAGGTCTGATAGGATCAGGCATTCACTTGTGGGTGGCACCTTTACAGTCTATGGTGGCACCACAATTGCTATTACACTACTTTTACACAATTACCAAACTCTTTACAATGTTACACTACTACTACTTTCTTTTGATAATAATTAATAACCCACTTATTTATTTCCCCCAGAAGCGTTTAGTCCTTTGTCGCCGTTGTTTTATTGGCATAAATGAAAATTGGTACAAGATCAATATTGCAATTCTTGCTATAATCGGTATTGGAGTGAAAATGTATTTCTAAAAGCAAAGTTTAGCAAAAAGTTGACATTAACAAACATTGGCTGCAACACTTTTGTCAGTTACAGTGTTCTGGGGGAATAAGCATTTTCTGTTCTTATGAATGTTGACTGTGGTCTGTAGGGGGAGACACACTCCAAGTTCCAGTGAAGGAAAATTGATAGTATGTGGACTTCTAATCACAATAGAATGTGGTTGTAGATCTCAGAATAGAAAATAATTCCTTCAGTTTTAAAGGGAATTAATGTTTCAAAAGAGGGACAGAAGAAGCAAGAACAACACCAGTGGAAACTCTACAATATCCATGCCAAAAATAAAAGATCAACTTCACCTTCTGGCTCCAAGTTAGAAATAATCTGTTTTTCTTGTTTTGAAATTCTGTAACCCTTTCAGCTTGTCTTACTTATCTTGAGCTAGTTGTAAAGAAATGTTTTCTTGTATAAAATATTCATGTGAATTTGTTACAACTTAACTAAATTCATCCATCCAGGTCACAGAGCACCAGCCCTTCACTGAGGTGCTGGGTCCACAGGAGCCTTGATCTTTCAGCGGAGGCTTCAGGCAAAGTGGGGTTAAGTGTCTTGTCCACAGACACATTGACAGCAGACATCAGAGGGAGTTGTGAAGTAGGTATTGTGGTGGGCTCGGACCCACGACTTTCAGGCCCAAAGGCCAATGCTCTACCAACTGGGCCACTGTCACTCAGATTAGATATAGGTCACATTTCCTATTGAGGGGGTTATGAAAATAATCCAGTTTCCTGCTTTCTCCATAAAACATAAACATAGGGCACATTCATTTATTGAAGAGGTATTTAAATAAGGACAGCTTGAGTGGGTGAGAAACAAAAACCACATTTTTGTGAGAGTTGGTAACTAACCAAACGTTCCCTTCATGTAGGGTTGTTTTGACAGTTAAATTATTACCTTGAACTGTGTGAGAGAGATCCAGTTGAAAATATATGTGCAGTGCCTTGCAAAAATATGAATACAGCCTGAACGTTTGCATCGTGTACAGTCAAACCCTAAAGGACTTACTGCTGTCATTGCAGCAAAAGGGGTTTACACAAAGTACTAACTCATGCTGTATGAATAAAGGCCCAACTTTCAGTTTTCTATTTATTGAAAAACTAACAGAACTAATTAAATTTTTCTTTCATGTCACATTTGCCTGTTTATTGTGTGTGAAATTTTAGTAAAAAATCATCACAATAAAATCTTTATGTTTAAGGATGTAAACATGACAAAATGTGCAGAAGTTAAAGCTGGAATAATACTCTTGCAAGGCACCGTATAAATGTATTGTCTCCTTTTCTGTTTATTGGCAGAATGGATCTACGCTGAAAATGCCATTATGTGAAATGTGTCATTAATTAGTTTGTAGTTAATTAGTAAATCTACATAAACGTCACTGTTACAAACCCTTCATTTATTTTATCAGATACAAAAAGTGTC